TCCCAAAATTTAAAACCAAACATTTCGTTTTCATAATAATAAAACCATCAACCAATACATCAAAGTCAAATAAAGCGTAAATCGTGGTGTGTACGATACGATCATCCCGAACTTTTTCCCGTCGATCAGGAAGTACTTGAAACATAAACTGAAAACCGTAACCACGAAGCTTAGTGAGTTCCCCAAAATTTCTCATACCATACATATCAAACATATAATGGGCCATGCTCGACAGCCATCGGGCCCCGCTCTGAACAAATATGTATGTATCATGTGATAGGCCCCGTCCATCACATCCATCAGGCCCCGCCTGACATCGCGCCCCGCTCGACATGCATACAATACATACACACATGGAAAGTCACACAGACAACTAGCATATAGATAACTATAATCCATGGTTCGGCACTGGTGCCTTCGACCCCTAAGCATTAGGAGGAAACTCACATCAAACTGCTAAAAAATCAGATAAAAGCTCGGGCTGTTGATCCGGGAAATCTCCGCACTAAATATCATCAAATAATACCATAATTAATAATTAGGGTCATAAACCATAACCGAGACTTTAAATTCATAATCCTCGACTCCAAGGATAAAAGGCCATTTTACCCTTCCTCAAATGGCCCAAACTAAGTATCACTCAAAGCTTTAAAATGGACCAAGTCCATAAGATATTCAAGGTCCAAAATTCTATAGCCCATGAGTGACCCAAAATCGAAGGAGGCTCACAGCTAGGCGTACGCCCCGCGTACCCAACACGTAAGCCCCGCGTTGACCCAAAAGTGGGCTGTTGACCCAGTACGTGCAGCGTACTAAGGAGTACGCCCGACGTACTTGCCAGAGTCCCAAAAGCTAATCAAGGGTCTTAATCCCTTAAGACCTTAACATCTAAACCTCAGACCTACATCATTTTAAGGTCTTAACACGTAAAGTTTGTAACTTTATATTTTTGCATGACTTGATGGGACCCAATACTCGGTTTATACCATTCATGTTCTGTGTATGACACTTTTTTTTTTGCGCCAAAGGTTGTTGAGCTCCTGAATATAGTATAACGGGTCATGCATAGTAACATTATGACTCCAAAATCCATGGACGTAACTTTTGAAGGAACTATTTTTGCAATTCAAAAAAAAGTTATCGATGCAACTTGCTGCATGTTTGTCTTCTATCTCGATGTAAATGTTAATTTTTTGGATAATTTACTAACCCTATATATGCTATTAAATAAATATTAATGTCGGATTTGAAGTGAAAACCTTTAAATTATATGGAATCAAAAAGTGTTATATGCAAAACACGAATGATATAACGTAACATCTTTCATATGGACTTGTTAAAAAACTCATTAAAAATTAAAAATAAAGAATAAAGAATTCGTATTATTTGGTAAAACATCATTGTCCGATTTGAAATTAATAGTTTGTTTATTATTATCGTTTGTGTACCTATAAATTTCACTTTTTTCAAGTAATTAAACTAACAAATGTTTTCGGTAACAACACCTAAATCCTAATATAGTATATTTTTTCATAGCAATGCTAATCCGAAGACAAGATACTTTTCCCATTTGGTAAAAAGGACTCATCGTTAAAAATGATACATTTCACTTCCTTTTTCTTTACTATATACTTAGTTTATAACCCGTGGGAAGCACGGGTTATAAAATTATTTAAACTTTTATAATAAAATTTATAATTATTAATCAATTACTTTAAATAAATCATTTATTAAGAGATATATCAAAATTTTAAAGTTGTTATAACTTCAAATTTAACATATAACTAGAAAATGTAAATTTGAATTTTGAAATGAGTTGCCTAATATATCTACAATATTAATCAGAAGTTGTATTAGAGTGACACTTGGCAAAAAAAAAGTAAAACTATTCATTTATTAGAATAGGGATTAAACACTACATTAGATAACTCCAACAATAACTTTTTTTTCTTCACAGTTATAGAAAGAAGAAATCAATATACTTTTATTATAATTATAAAATATTAACCTAATCTTCAAACCACCACACTCTTATATTGCCAACATGGCATAGTCAAAACTACACACTAATAAGTAATAAGATAGTATAACACTCAAACATGTCCTTTACAATTCTCCCAAAAAAATGATTCTCTTTTCGTTTCCAATATACTTATTGGAGGTTTTTTAGGATCTAAAATATACGCATTAATTAATAGATTATTACGATATACAAAATCAATAATAGAAGTTCACAATTTGTCAGAATTTTGGTTATTGATTTTGGGTAGGGGCCGGAGCTGTCCAATATTGCTTTGTAGCAATGAGTAGTTTCTCCCTCACAAGCGGCCCTTCTTCATGATCAACCAATCTTGTTTCCCATTTGAGTTCATCAGCAATCGTCTTTGCATTGACCAAAAAGTCAACATCATCACGTATTATTACACTTCCTTGTGGTCGTAAAATCCTGTCCATTTCCAACAATATATCTTCCATTTCACACCTACAATGTCAAGTACTTACATTCTTCATCACCAGAATACCACAAATAAAGAACATGTATATATGACAATATGACAGATCTTAGCAAAAGGTTACCTGTCTTTATATAAGCTAAAAATCGCATCAGCATGAATGAAATCATATGTTCTTGGATAAGTAGACATCGCCTCGCACCTAGGCAACAAATAATGATCATTAAATATGACAATTTGAAAGATAAGAACCATATAAATTTATGTAAAACAAGGGAAATATTAAAAAAAAAAAATACCAATTTTGTAAGAATTCATATCTAGTAAATTACGATACCGCCCCTTCTCTGCTAGTTGTTGATCTGGTGTCTTGTAATATGATAACCTTGTCCTCCAAAGATTTGTATCGTTTATGTAAACCTCTTCTGTAATTTCTCCAACACTACCAGAAATGATTCTTGGTGGGGTTGACGTTAATCTTTGTGGCCATTTTGCCACTGGCCCACCACCGGATGTCTCTCTGATATTGGAGACATCCGGTAGTGGAGTTAAACATGTCTCCAACTTCGTATACCTACAAAGGATAATTTTGTCATAAATAACACAAACTACATGTAACATATATATGAAATTAAAAGGTAAAAACTACTCTTAGTGCCTCCACCAATGGTTCCATGATCAACATGGATATGTAAAATAAAGTGTCATCAAGGGGATGCAATAGTCTGAACCTGGGACCACAACATATAACATATAACATATAATCGATCAAAGTTTTGTTGATATTACCAAGCCATGTCGGGATCTTGATCTTGGCAAAATTGTGGTTTCTTGAAGATTTTACGATTGATTTTGCCATGAGCATGATTCGTAGGCTTTTGCCAAATGGCAATATCGTCCTTTTTGAATTAGCTTTTTCCAACATAGGCTTTTCGCCACGCTTTCAATCACATCTTGTTCTCCTTTGAATTGTTCCGCTGTTTTGTCCCAACCCTTCCAATGCCTTTCCCAGTTGATAGGTGGGCCCGAGAGGATCCAATATCCTCCTAGACGTAAAACTCTATCAACTTCTATTAAATACAAGCCATCTGCAAAACACATTAAATCATAACTTTTTTCCATATCTTACGTATAAACTATCTCATAATATATGTAGAGGTGGTTAATTACCGTACTGTCCCCATGGGATGAGGCAACGAGAACAATGTGCCATATCAAAAGCTCTAGAAGGGTAAGGTAACCGAATCGAAGCAAGAATGCCAATTAAAGCAGGAACTCCTCGTTCAAGTGCGAATTGTACTTGAGCAATATGAGTGTCTTTTGGTGCAAATGACATTGTTAAAATGTTTCTAGATAAAAGGTATGCTCCTAAACTAGCAACCTGCAAAAAGAAAAGAATATTAAAGCACATTGTGACATGGAAACAATTAACGTGGAAGTAGTAACCATTTATACCAAAAAGAAAATATTAACTTTCGCCTTAATTTAAAATTGAAAGTTGTGATATCGTATAATAGTTGAAACAAATATCTTTTATAGAAGGTTTCTAGAGACTATAAAATGACAAAGTATTGCTATTAAAGTATATATTATACTCTTGAAATTGTAGAGTAATTATTAACTACTTATTTTCCTTTTCATTATGATATATAATCAACATTGTAATCTCAATATCCAAAGGGTAAATCCTATATACTAATGTATGGGGCGAAGTGGACTTTTTACGGATTATGCAACGATGCTACCACTTTTTTCTAGCAATATATGAATTATTGTTGCTTTTTTTTTTTTTACTAACTTATGCATGCATAATTTGATAAATTTTCAAATAATATTAAAAATAAAGTTGTACAAATTTCTAAAAAAAAAATTGTTTATAATAAACAATGACAAAAATAGAGTATAACTGACAGCCCTATTTAAGAAGATATAAAAGTGAGTAGTTTCCATTTCCAATTTGCTTTCCTTCCAAATGGACATTTAAGAAGATATAAAAGTATAATTGACAGCCCTATTTAAGAAGATATAAAAGTATAATTGACAGTCCAATCCATTGAACCAAACACTTTTCCAAGTTTTGCAACAAACCATTAAATTCAAAGAATCGAACCTAATTCAAATTATATATAGAAAAAACATCATAAATGGTCCCTGTGGTTACCCAAAATCTGAAGTTTAGTCATCGGTTTAAAAACCTTATAGATGGTCCCTGTGGTTTCAAAACTTTTAACAAATGATCATTTTCGCTAACTCCGTTAGCATTTAACCGTTAAGTGAAGGACATTTCTGTCATTTCACAACCACAGGGACCGATTCTGATGATTTGCCTTATTTTAAAAAAAAAGAAAAAAATATAATTATTTAATATTAAATGGCTCCACCCTCTCTCTCTCTCATTCTCCTTTTCTCTCTCTCTCTCTCTCTCTCTCTCTCTCTCTCTCTCTACCCTCACTTCTCTCTTCCCTTCCCGTTTTTCTTCACCACCGGCCAAGAAAAGGCTGCCTCCATCCCGACGGTGTAGTAGCCTACCTGATCCCCAGCTCTTCCCTTCGTGATTACGACCAACCCCGACCTCCCATACCACCCTTCGAGCTCACCAACGTCGCGTAGCACCCTCCCTTGGTCATTATTGTCTTCCCTTCGTTCCCACAGTCCCATTGTTGGGTTAAATACCAAGGAAGAAACGAACTCGTCGGACAAACAGGATCGCTGGTCTCGACAACAGATCTTCCACACCAAACCTTTTCTGCTTCTTGCGTGTTTTTTTCCCTTCTCGAATTGATGAAGACGATGGCCCCATCCCCTATTAGTTGTAACCTGTGAATACAACCTTGTAAAGGTAATCATATCATCAGATTTCTAATCAAGAAAAAGAAACAATTGATTGAATGATCGGTTGCTTCATCAAGTGTAGATTCACAGAGTGGAATGATCAATCAAAGTGGAAGGAATACAATAAGATATCGGGATCAAATTAACCAGATCTTCCAAATTGAGTGAATTACTCACGAATTCCACAACATGAAATCTCAATTTTCGAGACTAGGATTGAATCGATGATGAGCAGTAGTAGTAGAAGATTGATAATAATAGTTGAAAATTTGATTGAAGACTCGCAAATTCCACATCATGAATCTAGATTAGGAGGCAGAATCGAGAAGTCGAGGAAGGAGGTGACACCGTCTGGAGGCGATGCGACAATGGGAGGAAGGAATGAGAGATCTCAGTCACCATTATTTCTTGTGTGGAAGACGGAGGCGGCTAAGGAATTCTGGGTGGTGGTGCCTTTTAGGATCTGATCGAGGGTTTAGAGAGAGAGAGAGAGAGAGAGAGAGAGAGAGAGAGAGAGGGAGAGAAGGAGAATGAGAGAGAGAGAGGGTGGGGAAATTTAATATTAAATAATTATATTTTTTTTCCTTTTTTTAAAAAAAAATAAGGCAAAACATCATAAATGGTCATTGTGGTTGTGAAATGACAGAAATACCCTTCACTTAACGGTTAAATGCTAACGGAGTTAGCGAAAAGGACCACTTGTTAAAAGTTTTGAAACCACAGGGACCATCTATGAGGTTTTTAAACCACGGGGACTAAACTTCAGATTTTGG